TTGAATGAAATGCTTGATCTTTTGTCTCAGATTAATCGAAATGTTATTCGCATCAGGAAACGACGAATAATTAGACCTCCCCAAAGTCACAATGCTTTCGAGAATTGAAATGTTCGAAAGGAAAAACAGTTGACATGAAACTTATGAAAAACTCAGAGCTTAACGTTAATTTAAATCCTCACTCGGAAACCGAGAAAACTTTGTTCATATGATCATAGATTTCATAATCTTGTGTACTTTTGAAAGTACTTATAACTTGTTTGTCCTCTTAGGAAAAATGCTTGGTTGGTTTGTTCCATTATTCAGACCACGTTGCGCGTAAACAAGCTATCATAAATGGTAATGCTTCTAAAATTAACATGTAAAGATAATGTGGGTCCAATGGTCTCTGATGAGCGTGCCATACTTCAGTGTTTAAAACGCTAAAAAGCTAACTGAACTAAAGGCGAAGAAAATCAAGGAGTTTTGGAAACAGTGTCCAAACTTTCGGCAAAAAAAATTGTCATTTTATAAGAGAACTCAGTCGAGAGACTGAGTTAATTTTGAAACAATTCGTGATGCAGACTAGGAATTTTTTTTAAGAAATGCTAGACCACTTGTTTTTTCGATTTTATTCACGCAGGCCCGAGAAAGATATTCCCTCATTGACTTGAAAGGACAGGCCTCATCGCAAGATATACTAAGATAGCTTGTAGATTAAAGTAACTCTAATTCTCCCAAATTTGAAAGACCGCTGGGTGCATTTATAGAACTTTTCAAATATTAATGTTGATATATGCCTTCGAGCCAAAACATAAAAGTACTCAGTCAAAATATTCGAGCAATATCTCTTAACGCTTTAAGTACATTTGATAGCCTTTGGAACCCTTGCTGTCGAAAATAACGAACGCATATGCTGGCTTCCTTGAGAGGAAGGTTGGAACGTCCTAAAAGTCTGGTTAGACCGTTTTTAAAAAATTAATTCCTTGGTTTTTTTCCCAGGTTATGTGCATGTCCCTATCCTTGATGACAAATGGCTTATCGAAGTAGTGTTGTTATGATGTGAAGTCAGAAATGAATTTCAATGTCGACCCGATTCACAGTGACTGGAGAGAGAGAAACACAGGTATGCGCTTTTAAAAAATTTTTGAAAGAAACATCATAAATATCTTTTCGTGCTCAAGTCCGATTATTTTCAAGAGAATTTCGTTCGCTTTTCCGCGAACCTTTTCATCTTTAATAGCAAAATGCTCCATTGTCTGTTCTGAGTAAGTTCGCTTTTTGTATTTACTGTTAGGGAAACATCACGCAGATAATATTAAAGGTGTTTTAAGTTCCGATTCCCTCCCTCAAGGGGAAAAAGGTTGACAGTAAAAGAAAAAAAAAATGAATGGATACTGTCATGCAAAGAAATATCCCCGCTGACTTATTGTCGTCAAATGGACTCCCTGCCTGGAACTGAATGTTTAAGTGAGTGAGTGAGAACATTATTTGAAAATGAACTCACCTGACACTTCTAAGATTGTAATCACTTTAGGTTGTCAAAGAAAAACAACGAAAAATTATGTCGATAAAAGTATTTCTGATTTGTTTGTTTTTTTTTTCCACATGACCGCAAGCCAAAGATTTTATCCAGAAATACGCAATGCGATGAAAACAGAGTGATGAGTCTGTTAACAAACTTTCTATATTTTCTCTTGTTCATAGTCCAGAAAGCTTGAACACCCCACCATTAAAGAAAATGATGATATGAAAAGAAACGAAGGCTAAAAAAAGACTACCGTGTAATTAGTCCTGAGCGTTTAGCTCTATATTTCTGGCATGTTCTTCAATTTAACTTTGTTTTTATTCCAGAAATGCATGAAGAACCACATTACACATTAAGACCTCTCGGTTTTCAAGATCTCGTTTCTAGAAACGCGAGCAGAAAAACGCGCGTATTGAAGCGCTAATTATGGGGATTTGTTCATGGGCGTATTCTCTTCGAAGGACAGTTTTCTAACGTGCAAAGGAAAACCTGGTCAGATCGGTTGAGGAGAACTTAATATCGGTGCTTAAAATTGGTTTTCTTAGCAAAACTTCAGCTTAGCAACCGCAATGAAACTCAAGAGATGGTGCTTTGTTCGTCTCGGTAACTGAGCTGAAATTTTCTTATGAGCAATAACCCCGCCAAAATCCCTTCTAAGGACTAAACGGGCTGAAATTTCTCACTTGAACAAGGGACATAAGTGCACCTTAGTGGTGAATTCAAATGAAGAAGCCCATACTTCGCGGGGGGTGTATTGCGTCAATGGGTTGTTGGGTTGCTGATTTTTATTCTGGGTTATTTCACGTCTTAATGCGGACTCTTTGTAGACTCATGGTGATCATCCATTCCTTACAAGGATGTTCCAATCTACTTCCATTAACTCTTCAAGGTCTTAAACGGGGTAGGAATCTCGGGCTCTGTTTCCGAAAAAGAACGGAGGGGAGGGGGGGGGGGGTAGCTCTAGTGCTTCCGGCTCAGTAGCAGTAAAATAACATCGTGTCGGGGCTTTCAATAACGAAAAGTTAGGGCATGGAAGTGTGTAACAAATTGAGCCATAACAACCCAGGCTCTCTCCCATCCCCCACCCCACCCCAACCCCACACAATCAGAGAGTAAGCCTCTCCCGACTCCTGCTCTCATTTTTTAGTCATCAGAAGCTGAGGTTCACAGATTAGCTGCAAAAACAACAAAAGAACTAACCGTACGATACTAAGAAAGTTACGATTCTAATTCGAAACACATTAATCAAAGACTCTTATGAAGGAAACAAAAATTATTTTATCAGCTGGGCTCAACGGAGCAGCCGAATCAGCTAAGGCGATTCTTCAGTATTGCACTTAATATCCTGTACTGCGCATTTAAAACTGATATCACGTGATCAGGCTAATAGGAGGGCACGCATGCATTGCGAGAACAAGGTATTAATTGTTTCGCAATAAAGGGACGTAGTAGACAGGTACAATGGTCTTTTGCTCTTGAACAAGCGCTGAACCTATATTTTCATTGTCTAATTTTGGTGTATAAATTATCCCTTTTAAATTTGAGGAATTAGAAGAAAACTATTGGAAGGAAACAAGATGTCGCCGTTAGTTGAGGATGCAAATTGTGACCTTGAGAGCAACAGCTCGAAGAATCTTTCGGGTCGATGTCGTTGAAAATTTCGAGATATCTTCCCACAAAATAAATAAAAAATTGTTCCACACGCTACAGACGTTCCGCCTATCAAGTACTTTTTTAAGTTTTACTTCTAAAGCCCTTGCTTCCAGCTACGGCAAAATGAACTGTGAGCAGATAAAATGACACGCTTGATTATTACCCATCAAGAGTTTAAATTCTCTTGGCTATGGCTCTTTTGGAACGAAAATTTAAAAGTGGCCAGACCCTCCGAGTTGCGGTGCAGAATTAGTTGTGATTTTAGAAGTAAAGTATTTTAGCTTTAGGGTATACTGATTCAGTGGATAGCGTTAGTGAAGGCGTGCTCTGATTGGCTTATCAAACTCCGAAAGCCCTTTGCTGTTTACCTTTGAGCAACTCACGCAGGATTTGCGCCCGAAAACATTGTAAACGTTGCATGCATAAATGAGTTACAATCATCCTTTTGTACTAAATTACCTCATTGTTTTAGTATATACAACTGACAGGTATTCGCCTCAGTGTCGGTGGCTAGCGATGGCTATTTATCGGCAAATGGTCGTTAATTATATTTTCTCACAAATGTTTTATCAAGATTGTACTTAGCGGTCGTACTCAACAACATTATAGTACATGTTATACAAGTCCTTCTTTTGGAGAACTGTTTACTTATCAATCTCGAACGCTCCAGACTTTGTTAATTAGTTTGCTCAGAGGTGTACTTAATAATTGTGTAAACTTGCTGCATACGGGGCATTTTGGAATGTACGAATAGAGATAGCACTTAGCTTGGGGATACGGTTAAATCCCCCCCCCCCCCCCCCCCCCCTCTTACAATAGAAAATACCTCGCCACCTCCGGAATTATTTGGGTTAAAAATATTCCCTCTCACCTGCCGTTAATATATTACAGAGCGGGTACTGTAAAAGTGTGAGCGGCTCAAGTGTACCAGAATTTTTAATCTCCTGCCAACAATCAAACGTTACTTTAAAAGAACCGCATTGTATAGATTAATTTTGGCGTGCGTAAAACTTAAGCTTTTCATTTCTTCAGCTTACGTAAGTGAGCTAAACTAGAGATAAAGCGAGGGTTCTTTTACTTCAAATGATAAAACAAGAAATGTATGCTTAATGGAGAAGATCTCCCTCTACGTGATAAATTACGTGATGGTATGATGTTATTCAGACCTTTCCAGACACTCTTTGTGTCGACAAGCTTCGATCATTACTTACAGACAGGTCTATCGTTTTTAATCATTTCTTTGCTATGGAGATCTGTGTCGGACGTGCTTTGTCACCTTCCTGTGGCTTAAATTTTGTTTTTCTCATTTGTAGTTAGATTTTTCATTCGGATGGGTCGGCAAACCTTACTTATGTTTCAATTAATTCTGAATTCTAATACTTTTATTTTACTGAAATATTTTCACTTTAGAATTTTTGGTTGAAAAAGTAATCCAATAAATCATGTGTGTCACGTAATCTGTGTGTTATACATGACTTTGGTTCATTCCTTTTTTTTTTCTCGTAAAATTGTGTTTGAAAATTTCTGTTATGGTCTTAAAGAAATGTTTTTAGCCCTCGTGAAGCGTCCAAAATGTATTTCTGGAAAAAATTTTTTTGGTGTACGTGAACGGTTCACTGAGGAAATGAAGAGAGAGAGAATCAATACAAATAAGCAAACGTCTTTATTGTAATTACATATTGAGTGATAGTGCCAAAACTTTTATCAGATTTTTCATTGAAAATGACTAAGAATTCCTTTTTTTATTGATCACAGCTTTCATCAGTTGTCTTTGAAAATGCAAATATAATTGCAAGCGAGGCCGATGGTGACGTCATGATAGCTTACAGTTTCTTATTTCCTACCATCAAGCCAATTTGTCTAGTCTGCATTGAAATTATACGCATCGTGGGGGATTTACTTCCCTTCGTCTCGTCAAACATGGAAGAAACGGCTTTTTAGATCCGCTATGTGAAATCCCGGGTGTTGTGATCGATCTACAAGGACTTCAAATTTTTATTTCTGGCATCGTATTATGTCCCAGTTTAAAGTTGAAAAAGGTTTGGATGTACAGAGCATTTTTTCCTCCCATTCATTAACATCGACCGACTGTCGATCGAAAGAAACAGTTTGTTATGGCTTCATTCTAAGTGAATTTTCTTCTCTCCTTTTGTGTGTCATCTCTCCATTTTTTAGTCACAAAAGTGAAAGGGTTATCAGATCTCTCTGAGAAAGCTAAATTCAGTGAAAAGACAGAACCCTCCTCAAAGCGAAGTCGAGGATCTGCTATCAGTAGCGAACGCCCTGGCTCTTCTCATGGGAGGCAAACGGCGCTAAAGGTAAGACAATTGACGCCAAATCTCATCTGCCATCGCTGTTTGTATTTCTTTCATGATCTCGACAGTTTATTCTCTCAGATTTTGTGGGCCGAAGAAATTCAAGCGAATGTTGTTGTCGGCTCGCTCAATGGGTTGTGATTCTTCATAAAATTAGAAAATCTTCCATTTGTCCGTCATTGCTTGAAGGGTGTTTTTGTAGTTACGCCGTTTTCTACTGGTCACTCGGTTTACCACTCGCAGCGTTGTTCGTTCACAAGCTCAATGTCTGTTGATAAAAGATTCTTAATTCGCTGTTCATCGCATTAAAGCTACACCAACATCTCAGCAATCTTCAGAAAAACTGTTGTGCTTTGTAACAATTTAAAAACGAATATTCTTGCATTTGTATAGGAATTTAGATTTTCATCGACGATTGCAATGATAAAAGTTGTTCGAAATCTGCTTCGTGTGGGAAGAAAAATTGACTTAGCTTACATCTAAGGTTTCGCACCCCTCAGAGCGCTTATTGCTTGAGTAAACAACACTTTTTACTTCGACATATTGTACATCCTGCCCTAAAATATTTACTTGAATATAACTGGATGTTGTGGTCGAATTTCGTGCTTTAGAGCCACCTTGGATAATTAAAAACTGTTTTATGTTATTTCTTTAGGCTGTCAAAGAAAATATTTTCACTTTGAATTGTTTGATTTCCTAATTTGAACAAGTGATATTGTTGACATTTTGGAAGCGACAGTGGAAGCAATTTGAACAAAATTGATATCAGCTGATCTGTCAGACAGTTTCTTTATGGGAAAACTTTGATCGCACATCACTCTCTATTTCTTCAATCTGTAGTTAAATACACATCTGGGTATTTTCTCTATGAAATATCTATTTTTAATTCAAGATTGAATGATCATTAGTATTGGGATATGTACAGTAGGATATTGAAACTTTTGTAATTTTTGAGGGTTTCTCGCGAGTCCTTGAAACCTAAGATGTAAATTAATACCAATAGGGAAATAAAGTAAACCAAAACATATCTCTTTTCAAATTAAAAAAGATAACAACAGCAGCAAAGTAGTAAAGAGAAGAGGCAATGGAAAGATTCCTATAAATTAAATTTTGTCGACTGAAATTAGCATTTTTGTATTGATGGCGGATAATTGCACACAGGATTTGATTTGGCATGCCTTAAGCTAAATGGATATTTTTAGCAACCCTGTAGAAAGTTTTGACCTTAAAACTAAAGCAGCTGTCATTTTTTCACCCTTAAGATCAAAATTTAACTCATGACTTTTGTCACCAGATAAAGGAATTGTTTTTAATTTGAAAGGAAATAAAGACTTATTGGGATTTTCAAGGATTTTGAAGACTGCATCTTATTTGATTGCTTCAGATAGCCAAATGTGAAATGGTTAATTCTTTCAATTGGTGATGGGTTATAGTCACGTCTGATGCATGCAGCATGCCCCAAAACTGTAGGATTCACCTAGATGCAAGTGAAGGCATTTCAAGTAATCTTCACCATTAATTTGGTTTTTGAATAGTAGTGTGCTTTTGTAAGCTTTTGTAAGCATGCGTATTGATTCTTGTGCAGACTAACTGTTAATTGATTGAGAGCCCTCTACTGCTGAAAGCCTTACCTTGTATTCTTGTTTTAAGGTGAGGACAATTGGCTCTGTACAGGCCTTGGTTAATGTCAGAAGTAGCCCCGTATTTTGGTTAATAGTACACAAGAGAACAAATGTTTAACATCTTGGGCTCCAAGTGTTAAAGCTAATACCAAAGTCTCACCTTGGATTGATAATTTATATGATATCAGTTGATAATTAATTACTATTTATATTTATAATACAGAAAACTGCATCACCATCAAAATCCACATCCAATGAAACTGCTGGTAGAAAGTCCACATCCAGTGAGGCTGCTGGTGGCAAGTCCACAGGAAAAACAACACTCTCACATCGCACCAACCCACCAAAACCTGCAACAAGAACAAAACAAACTGCTCAGGACAATTCAACAACAGTCAAAAAGGTAAACTACACAACTAGTGCTCCATTAAACCTTTGAATTTCTATCAATAAATATTATTTCAGTTTACACTTGGTGATCGCAAGAGGGTTTGTCAGACACCCTTATGTCATAAATTGAATGAAACAACTGCAGGGATTGCTAAGTGTGAGCAATTTGGGGTTGTGACTGAACTTTGGTCATTAAATTGAATTTTCGGCTTTAACAAAAAGGCCAGCAAATGGTATATACATATAGCTGTTCAAGCTTGAATTGAAAAGAAGCAACTAATTTTTAGCTGGGTTATTAAATGCTAGAAGAATGATTTTTGCTTTGAAGTTAAAAATTAGAGCAACAGTATTGCTTAAAAGTAAGTTGACAGTCCCTCAAAACTTGATTCTCAAACTTGATTTTTGATCCTTGGTTAATGAAAACTTCTAGAAATATTTCCTAAAAATCCTTGAAAACTTCTTCAAGCATCTCTTTCTTTGATTTGAGCAATATTGTAATGCTAGTAATTTCTTTCCTCCCGAAAATGGTATCCACTATGGCAAAAGACAACATGTAGTTTTTGGATAATGAAAGTTTTTTACATGCACGTGGAGCCCAGTTTTACTGAAAGCCAAATAGGGATGACCAAGACTGGTTTTAACTTCACCTCTTTGCTGCCAAGATCTAATCTAATCTAGTAATTCTCCTTACTGTCTGCCATAGAATTTATGTGATGTTAGTATGGAGAATTTGGTATTGGATCAACTAATAATCACCTAATTGATATTTTTCTTTGATCTCATGACTTGTCTGCTTGATTTTGTTTCAATGTTGCAAGGAACAAATTCTCTCCTGGTCATTCTTAAATGTGTTATACTTTATGAAGGCACTTTGTAACCAGGAAAGTATGATCATGTACATTGTACTGATTAATTTTTACTTACATCTTGTTTAAGCTCTTGAGCAACTGACTGAACTTGTGTCTTAAGAAATAATTGGTTTTTAGGCTGGTTGAAATGTGTTTTTCGCCCCACTTAGTAGTTGATTGGGAACAGTACTTTGTGAATTGTACACTTATGTAATATGTAGCTTGAATTCTTCCCAATTCTCAGAATTACAGTGTAGACAATGAAAAAGGTATCCCAGTAGTGTTGAGGGTGACTTGAACAGTTGAATAGATTTAGAAAAGTCATGGGTCAGGAAATTTGGATTTAGTTTAATTTAAAATGAATGATGTCTTTTTGAATTTTTTAGTAAGTTTATAGATATAATTTATGTTTTTAATTATTTTTGCTTATACAGCTCAGATTTTCATTTCTTTAATTACATTCTACTACTTTCAAATGATGATCTTATCATAATGATGACTTACAAATTTTGTAGCAATTCAAATGGGAGCTGTTATATGAGGCTACTTTCATTCACCTTAACTGAATAAAATTCAGGATAATTTGGTGTAAATTGGCCACCGTAAAGAGTTTCAAAGCAGATGTTTTGAGTGTTAGCACTTCAAGCATTAGTCCTCCGCAGTGTAAGAGTGTATTGAATAAATTTCAGTCTGCAGAGCAATGTGCTCATGAAGAGCTGTGCAAGTTAACATTTGCCATGTGTTAGAGAAATAATCGGCATGTACTTTACACAGGAAACCTATGTGAGGGAGTTGACACTGTAAAAAGAGGTGGATTTAGACTCAAAGAAAAAATATGACTCTTGAAAAGTTATGGTTTTTTGTGAATACATGTAGGTTTTAAGTGCATTGGAATTCATACTGTAACTTTTTGAGTTGTGTACAGTAATCAGCATTGCTCAGAGTAACAGTAATTTATAACTGACTAGTTTTAGGGCTTGCTTTTAATTGTTCTGTTTTAAGTACACTTTTTTACTAGATCTAAGCAGCCACCATGGTAAAAAAAATTATTTTACTGTAGGAAGAGTCTTTGTAACATGCTGATTATCATTTGTTAGGTAAAACCATATTATTTCAAGTTTGAACTTTTTTCTGCCATGAATGCAAACAAATTCATACCAGTGTGAATGCAGTTTGCTCCTTCCATAACTTCAACATGAGATGGTGTGCTACTTACAGCCATTTGTTTTTGAAAGGAATGTTTTTGTTTCGTTATTTGTAATTACTTCAACACATGACAGTTTCAGGTTCAGATGTATAATTACACAGTGACTGTGTTGTTTATTTTTTACTTTACATTTTGAAGCTTCACTTTTTATGCAAGGAGTTTCAGAAGAAAATTTCATGTTTTGAATTTGTTGTCAGTAATAATACCACCATGCATGCAATGGATGAAATTTAACATTTGACCATCACAGATTGAATTGAATTTGAATGCATCAATGAAAGTGAATGCAACCTAATTTATCTGTGTCATTCTCAAAAACATGTCAATGCCTTGTGTTTGCAGTCAAATCTTTTGTAGGCAAGGTTAGTTACCTTAGTTCCACAGGACTTTCTTGCTTTCTGCACACTGCACTTTCTGAGGCTAGAGATCCCTGCTGAGAGTTTCAGAATTAAGAAAAGTTCCTTTCTGTCACTTTTGAAACAGAGCTGAAGGAAGATTAGTGATTGTTATTATTATTTTATGCTGGCTTAACCTATGTTTGTATGCTTTTCAGCTTTGTGTCTGTAACTAACATCCCTCTTTCATTTCCTTAACTAATGTGCAAGGTGATTTGAATATTTAATAAAAGGTTCCTTGTTATCAATATCACACATAGGTGAGGAAAAAACGTGCCATTTTGAACACAATACACTTCTGAATTAATGAATCCTAATTTGTGCTTTTATTTGAATAATCCCTGGGAAAAGACAATGAAGTCTATTTTTAAGTAGTTGAATCACCCTTTCGGATTTAGCATCTATTGTTTTGTACTTCTGATATCAAAATTTTATGCTTGAACTTGTTGTTCTTGTGGCTCAATATTTTTATATTTTTTCTTATGCCTGTTTTTTTTTTTACAAGTTCAAATTACGATAGCCATAGATATTTATTGCAAGCAGGTATCATGCATTATTTATTACTGACCTGTTCCAAAATCTGCATTTAAAATAACCGTGACTTAGTGGTAGAGATGTAAATATATGCAAATAAAACACTTCTTTATTGATTGGAGAGGAAGTGCATTTGTTGCTACTTTCGCAAGTGAGAATATTGATAAATAGTGTTTAGGAAGCAGTATGTCTTTTATCCTTCTCTGTGGTGAAAGATATCTACAGCATGAAGGAAGCAGTTTGTACAGTTTGTGAGTCCAAAGAACCTGTTATTTGTTGTGCTACTTGTGAGGCATTATATTGTGCAAGCTGTAAAATTTCCGTCCATGAAAAGGTAACAGCCAATTCTCCACAAGTTAAACCTTTGATGGATAGCTAACTTTTGACAAATTTTGTTGTACTTTTGTGGCTGCTGTTTAACCTTTTCTCCAAGGTGTTTTTTATCTCATTATTGATTCATGTCACACACGAAGATAAAAACATGTGGAGAGATTATTCTGAACAAAACACAAAGCACATGTTAAGAGCTGTTCAGAGAATACATGCATGATCCTAAAAACTTAAATCTTTCTTTATGCCAAGCTGTTTCAGCTTAATTAGCACAAATATTTCTTCTTTACAACAAATACAACATGTGCTTGGTTTTATTGTATGCTAGCAGATGTAGCTCAGAAAACAGACTTCAAAGTTTCAGATCAGTTCTCATTACAAGTACAGAGCTGAATCTATAGAGTCTGCTGTGTAAATAAAATATAATCTATTGGTTAATTTGAATGTTAGTAATTTGTTACTGTTGATCAGAACTAACTTTATAAAATTACCAAGTTGAACATGTTTTCTGTTGTAAGAGAGAATTAGATATGTATATGCAATAGTTATCCCTTTAAATCAGCAGTGTATTTTATTATCTTGGTCAGTTTTCTTTGAGAGAATAATCTTATTTTACTTCCTAATTGCTTGCAAAAATGGGATTAGTTATAAATATGACGATTTCTGTTTAATCACATAACCTTGACTTTTAAACACAGCTATAATCAGGAGCCTTTTCACATTTGCATCTTTTGATGCTGGTTGCAGTTATTTTGATTGGATTATAAATAGGTAGATATATTCTTATTATGTGTGATTTTTGCAGAGTTGTGCAGCTTCTCAGCAGGACAAGCAATCTTCTGGCACAATCACAGGTAATTCCTAAAACTTTGGTTAATTTTAAACTCAAATTGAACCCTTTAACTCCCAGATCAAATTTGTCATTCTTCTTAACATCAACCATAACAATTCTTATAATGTTAGTTCAGAGAATTCAGTATTGAATCAACTAATTATCCCCAAATTGATATATTTCTTTATTCTCATCACTCATCTGGTTGATATTATATTGATATTGTAAGGAGAAATTCTGTCTTGGTCACTCATGGGAGTAAAAAGGTTAAAGTAGCTAAATGTTTTTATCTACTTAAGGTAATGAAACAACAGAGTTAATGTTGCGGGCAAAAATTTGCTTTGGGCCGGACTCAGAGTAAATTCAGCTCAAACCATCTGGCACTGAGTTAAAATGATCTCTGTGAAGGACCCAGAACATAATTATGCCCAAAAGTGTAAATGCTGACTGTAACTATTATTATCACTTTGGACGGCATTGAGAAAATATGTAGTAAAAAATAGCAACAAAATAGTCTGAACAATTAAAGGGGTTTAGCCGAAATACCCATTTTATCCTGCAAAATGTGCCACAATGCCCAAAAGGTTGATAGTAATAGTGTATTATTCTGAATCTAAATAAAATTTCCTTTACAGATACCTCAGTAACTAAGAAAAGGCCGACCAGTCACAGTGTTACTCCTTCACCACGCACAAGAACAACAGCAGTTTCAAAGCCATTATCTCAAAAGCCTGTGAAAGAACCCAACAGCAAAAAGAAAAGTGAAATTAAAAAAGAGAATAGTTATGATGCTAGTGATAGTGACTCTGAGCATGGCAGTGTAGATCGACTCAACACCGATGGTGACTATGGCTATGAGACTGGTTCCCTTGATGACAGTGATGTGTCGACAGGGGAATTGCTTAGTCCATCAGCCAAAGATGAGAATAAGACTATTTTAACAAATGAACAAAGTGGAAACCCTGCTTGTACATATACCGAAGTTGAATTTGGACAAGTTTTGGCGACAAAGGAAGGAGATGTTGTCATTAGGAATTCAGAGAAATTTGATTCAGGAGAAGGAGAGTTAGTTGTAGTGGATGGCAGTGCATTTGGTGATCGCAAATCTTACACCTATGCAGGAGATGAGTTTCGACCCTTGATTGTGACAGAACAAGGGGGAATTTCTGCCCCTGTTGAGGCAAAGAAGTATTCCAAGAGCTCTGAGGATGAAAATGGCAATGGTGATAGGCAAAGGGCTGGTGGAAGAAAAAAAATGGTGACAGAATATGAAGAAGTTCAGATCATTGATGGTAGCTATGACAGAACAAACATAAAGGTGACATCTGCCAATCAAAAGAATAGGGCAGAGACTGATGACTCACATACTTTGGGTCCACTTAATGATGTTTATGCTGTTGTGCAGAAAAAGCCAAAGGAAACTGCTTGTAATGAGAATGCAGAACAGAAACAAACTTGTACAACTCAAAGGCCCACTCTTGAGTTGGGTGATGTTGCCCCTGCAATCCCAGGTGGACGCAAAGACTCGAGTATGTATGAAGCAATAACAGGAGAGCTTCAGAATATGATAATGGCATGTGACGAGGTGTCACTAGATCAGATATCATCCAGGACTAATGCTAATGACAAGAAAGGTTCTCCAGGAGATAAAAAGGTTCCACCACCCATTCCAAAACCTTATTCGGGACCTGGCTTCAATTCTCTGGCATCAAAAGAACCAGTAATGAAAGAACTATCAGAAAATTCTGAGAGAGGTATGGTGTTAAATAATTTGAGACAATTCCAGATATCAAAAGCAAAAAACCTTGATTAGTTGTCAGCATATTAAGGAAAATTGTTATATTAAATGTGATTGTTCTGGGTTGGGTTGGTTAAAGCTGGGATGAGATAACCCAGGGTTAGTGTGAAATTTGATCTCAGATCTGAAAGCTTTAAAAGAAAATTCAGTTAAACTAATTTTGCCTAAAAATTGAGTATTGGATGGTCTAAAAAGAATAGAGAAAGCTATCTGAAAAATGATCTGGAATAGAGAAATATAGAAACCTGGTTTAAAATTTAACTCCATGTTAGCACCAGTTGGCCTTTGAACAACCTGGCCATCTTGGCCGACCTGGAAGACAAACAGTACAGGTATCAAAATGAAGCTGAAATCCAGAGAGACATATTTCATAGACGTCTCTGGTTTTACTGCATGGTTACTGGGGGTCTGAATACAATTTCATATCAGCAGGTTTCAGTAGTTGGTTACAGTCAAACACAACTGACCTATAGCAAGAAAATCTACTTGTAGGCAAAACTGACCAATAAGTTTAATGTGCAGGACGTATGATTGTTGACTGTAAAGCAACTCCTTGCTAATTATACGTGTAAACTCTTATGATGTCTTCTGCTCAGTCACTGTCATCATTCACGGTCTCTTCTCAGGTTTGGGTGGCAGATCGGGGGGGGGGGGGGGGGGGGGGGGGAGAGAAGACCTGAGGATGTAGACCCCCTCCCCCTCCCCCTCCCCCTCCCCCATAAGACACATTTCTCAGATTTTGTAACATGTTCATGGTAATTTTGATTTGTCTGGTCCACAGAACCTGCAGAGGTTCCATCTCAGCCAGTTTATGCTGTTGTACAGAAGAAGCAAAATGAAAAATTGAATGATAAATCCTCAGAAGAAATCAGTGATACAACATCTGCAGGTAATGTCTTGATTGCCTCAGTTGGTGCCTCACCTGTTACTTTATGTTTTATCAAATCTGTAAGGAAAAAACTGACAAAATTTAGATGTGAGATGTACATGTTGCTTAATGTCTTGACAGGAATATTTGTTACCTATAGTAGAATCAGTTAGTGTTGATAAGAGATCTTTTAACTTCCTTCCTTTTTTATTTAATGAAAGTTGCAAGAGAATAGCAGTCTATAATCTCAGGAATAAGAGAATTGAAAACTTACCATCCAATCCTCCTCACCCACCCCCCTCCTTCCTACCACCTAAAAAGGAAGAGATTAAAATTGACATAAGCTGATTAGTAACATGGTTGTAATAATTGTAATTGTGGTAAATGTTTGTGCCATTTTATGGAAATTTTACTTTTAATGAAAAGATTGTTGAAACTGAAAAAAATCAATATGTTAAGATGTAATTTTTTTGGAGTTTTTCTTGCTCTGATTTGTGCTTAGTTATTTCAGTTTCAACTAAGGTTTGATTGTTTTGACTCCAAGACTTTCAGTTGCAAAATTAAATTGGTGGTGATTGTCTTTATGCTTAACAGATATGCAGGCACCAGATAAGCCTAGGTATGCTGTGGTGCAAAATGGTTCAGTTGAATCTCTTGATCAGCTAAGAATACCAGCAGAATCTGGTGATGATGATGATGAGTCCAGTGATGAAGAGATGCCACCACCACTTCCTTCAAGGTTACCAAACCTTGAAGATACTATGAAAAGGACAGATCCTTCACAGAATACCTTCCAGTCTGATCAAGTGGAGAAATCAGAGGAAAAGCCAAAGAAGGGTGGTTTCAAACTATTTAAAAAGAAACACCACAGACAACTGTCTGATGGAAATGTAACTGCTCAATTTAAACAGGACACTGATAGCGGTGCTATTTTTTCAAGTGAAACTGAAAGGAAGCAATTCCATCATCGACGATCAAAATCACATGCAGACATTATGACACTTGAAGGAACTGGAGGCAGATCATTGAGTCCTACAAACACCTTTGAAAATTACTCAGAAATAACAATTCCATCCAGTAAAGCAAGGAGTTCTGACAAAGTATCACCTGTCCAACCTTATTTGGAAGTTGACATAACTGAGCCTCCCTCAACACCTACGGATTTCAATAAAGAGAAAATATCCATGGAAGAGGATAGCGAGGATCAAAATGTTTCCTATGAGCTACCTGAGGGCTGGAGGGAAGTGAAAGGTGACAATGGTACTTATTACTGGCATGTTGCTTCTGGAACAACACAGTGGACCATGCCTCAAGTTGCAACCAGACCTAAGGTGAAGCCTTGTATGTTAGTGACGCTATGTCTACGTCGTACGTTTTAACCCATGGGATGTGCACATTTTGGATTAGGTACTTGTTGATTGAGTATAAGAGGGCTGGACAGGAAAACATTTGACTGGAGGTCTTGATATATAGAGGGAGTGTAGCCACCCCCTGCTCTTTCTTTTTCCTTTCCTTTGTTTTCACCCCTTGTCTGGTTGGCCATATGGCTTTTTTTCCAGCCCTGCTCATGCCATCATGAGTGATTTTCATACATATGCATGGAAGAGAAATTTGCCTTTAGATGAAGTTCAGTTTTGAAAGCAAACATAACAGTGTACTTTATTTCATATGATTTAGAAGAAGTCAACTGAAGAAGTAAAACCAGCAGAAAGCACAGAAAGACAAAAGGTACCATTATCCCTAAATAATGCTTTGTTCAAACAGGCTGTTTACAAATTGTGAAGACTGTGGATGTACTGTGGGCTACAACTTAATATTATGTACTGTGGCATAAATTGACTTCTCAGTGTAAAAAATGATCAAAGGCATGAAAGAAAGTGTAAATAGCATTTTCAGAAAAACATATTAAGTTGCTTTTAACAATTAACATTTAACACTTTCATTCTGCTGTGTTGAAGCTTGGGAAATAAAGGGTTGTTGAATGTTTATCATTTCCTCGTCACACTACCAATGGTGCATTTCTTTTAATGTTAGCTCAGATGATTAATAATGGTAATTGCACTGAGTGGAGTGCAATTTGGGCTGAAATCATATGCGTGATTTCAAAATTGATGAAGCGCGCAGCGTGAGTTAAATTTGAAATCACAAGTATTATTTCAGACCAAAATTGCATGACATGAGGTTCAATTACCACTTAATTAAATCCATTTTGAAATCGCAAAATGTAGGACTTGGTTAGTTCAAATATTTTATTGATGCAGTACTGAGCTGCTCTGAGATTAAATTCATGTCCATTTTTTTTGTGGGGGAGGGGAAATAAGAGTTAAGAAACAAAAGTTGCAAAATTTGCCACAGGATACTCCTTGTCTTTCATTTTCCTGCAATTTGATTGGTTACTTTAAACAAGCCTTAAAATCTGATTGGTTTGTTTTGTTTTTAGTGTAGCCTCCTCATTGACTGGGAAAAAGATGCCATTTAAAGCAAAAAATGGTGCGATTCATGTATAAATCGCATCAATTAGAGCCAATCAGATTACAGGAACCACCAGTGATTTCAAAATGGGTGTACTAAGGTTTTAAATCAAACAATAAACTCACATTGATATCTCATCATCTCCCTTCCAGACTATGTATTTACGTGTTGGTCACTCATGGGAGTATAAGAGTTATTTAATTTTGAATGTTTGCCAATTTTTTGGGCAGGTCTTGAGTTTTCCTGTGCATTCCATGGGTTGGATTGAGCTTGAAGAGAGCCAAGTTGCACCGCATAACATGAGTGATACTATCTCAGACTGTATCTCTACCTTGGCACAGAAGAGAAAAGATCTCTGGCAAACTGGAGAAACTTGGGGAGAGGTAAATGCTGTATTCATTATTTGTTTATTTATTTATTTATTTGATAAGCACTCAGTTGCATCTAAGCTTGGACTTGTCCTACCTATCTTGCTTTATTTATGGTAAAAAGAGTTTCTTTTAAGATCATGACTCATGTGCAATTACAGCAATTGCAGCCTTTTAAACTTTTTTCAAGAACACAAACAATATTTATTGTTTCCGTTCATGTTTCATTACTAGTGTGGTGTCTTTTTGGTGGCAGACTGCTTTGTTAAAAGCCTATGTTTGAATGTTGTTATTATATTTATTATAAGTCAATGATGAACACAATGGTAATACATTTTATCATTTGTGTTCCTTGTTATGAATTGTTTTTTAAATCATCCCACACTTCCAGGGTAAGGACATCAGATTGTTGCTGGAAGGTGACACTCTTAAGCTTGCAGAACCAAGAACCAAGAACACCTTGCTTATCCAACCTGTCTCTAAAATGAGGGTTTGGGGTGTTGGCAAAGAGGATCAGAGGTACTGACTTGTAAGCTGTTTTGTTATCTAAAGATTTTAGTTGATTCATATAAATTTGTGAACAGTTTGTCAACATGGAATTACTGTTGCTTACAGTTAAAAATAGCTTAAAATACATGGATGGCTAAGAAAAAGCTACATGATATATAGTTTAATTGGAGTGATATTCATTGCCCCTTTAAAAAATTTTTGTTCTAAATTGTGGGTTATTACCATTGTAATCAGGGCATCATACCACAGAAAGGTGAGTCTGTATACACTTTTATATTAGTAGCTCTTATGCAGTCTATAATGCTTTGTATTTTAGGGACTTTGCTTATGTTGCACGAGATCCTTCAACTGGCAAGCACAAGTGTCACATGTTCCGTTGTCATGGGAACATATCTGGTCGTGCAATCACCAATGCCCTACATGACATGTGTAGCAAGATCCTAGAGGAAAAGAAAAAGGCTCAGGAAAGCACTCGTAAGATATCTGCTCAGAAGCCTTGGTCAGATATCATTAATACACCACCTCCTTCTTCAGCAAGAGGTACATCACTCTTAACTCATTAGTCTCTAACATCAGTTTGCTTGTTCTCAGTACTGTTCTTTACATATATCTGTAGTGTTTTAATGCATTTTTTTAGTTTTTGGGATGATTGTGGATTATGAGCAGCAACCTCTCTAGGGAGCTTAATGTCTTGTCATGTAAAAGGCCATCAAAAAGGAACCATGTAGTGAAAAGTGTAAATTTTATGGATAAATTAGTTACTGTAAGTACCTGCAAAGATTTGCTGCAACACCCACTGAATCAAACCACAAAAATCTGTCTACTCTCTTGTTGTCTAATAAAACCTAAATGCCCAGAAAATATTTCAGTTAATACAAGAAGTAAATTTAAGCACAGAGCATGAGCATAAGCATAAAGTATGAGAAATCACGTAGTGCAAAACAGCAGCCCTCACGTTCAAATGTAAACTGCAAACTTCAAACTGCATGCCAAGAACTACATTTTGTGATATCTTGACATTTGCTATATTCAAAGTAATCGCAAAGAAAACAAACAAACAAACGAACTTTAAGTAACTATTGTTTCTAATAAATGTTGTTTTGCAGATAATGCCAGTTTTAATGAAAAACCCCATGTAGAACCAAAGAAAAGCTTTTCTGCTAGATATGTTGGGAGCATAGATGTCCCAAGACCAACAGGTGAGATAATGATGTTAGGTAACTTGACTGAGTTTTATCTAGGACTGTTTATAATCTGGAGAGATCCTTAACGATTAATTTTATCTGTGAAGCTAATTAACCCTTTAACTCCCAGGATCTGCTTGATAATTCTCCCCTCTAGCTTCTGCAAATTTCTTTCAAGAATTTGTGTTAGATCAAGGTAATAATGTCTACCTGATGAGCTTGAGTATTATCATTACCTGTTTGCTGAATAATGGGAGAAGTTATGTGTTAATCACTTCTGGGAGGTTTAGGGTTAAGTTTGCCAAGGTTTGGATTTGTTTTAAGTAGAGGAATTTGGAAATGAACATATCTTGTATAACTGTTTTTTTTCCATGGTGTTTTTCACTTTTGTTCCTTTTTTTTTAGGTGTGGAGATCTTGAACAAAGCAATAAGTAAACTAACAAGTAAAGGTGGCGGTGTCAGTGGATGGAGAACCATTCTCATTGAAATCAGTGTATCAAACATCAGGATAACAGACTGCACTGTAAGCTGCTCTCTCTCTATTTTCAGCCCCAAAAAAATGTAACAAAAATTTAGATGGACTAATATGAGAATGACACTATTATGAGGGCTCAAACAGGTAGCTATTGTTAGAAGGAAGCCAGCAATGATACTGACGCTCTATGGGTGGCTGTCAAAATGTACTTTACCTAGCAAATGTTCACCCAGACAACAATTGAGGGTATTACTTTCAATTGATGTGGTACCAAATTCTTGTAGATGAATATACAACTGAAAATAATGTATAGTTTAGTAGGTAGGAGGGAGAATTACTGAGGAGATGTTGGGAATTTAAGGGTTATATTGCAAATTTTAAGTTTACTACGGACATTATATTTATAGTCAGTCTCTCTTACTGGTATTAAGGGTAAACACAAGACTTTAATGCCAGTAAACAAAAATCTCAAACTGTGTAATTATTAATCACACATTAATCACATGAATCGTGCATTAAATTGCACATCTCACCACTGTCATACTTAGTGACTGTTCTTAAATTTTTTTCTTTGTCAGACCCAAGAACTAATTTCTGAAGACCGAGTTAGATTTATGTCTTTCTTTGGAGTTGGAAAAGATGAAAGGTAAATTACTAGTCATAAGATATACTTGAGTCAACAATTTGACTAAATTCCAACCATTATCGTACAAGTGGAAATATGATATGTTTCACAATTGTACTGTTTGTGATCAAATTCCCTTCATTGGCAACAGGAATAAAGGAAACACTTAACTTTCTTTTCTTACAACCTGTGGCTTTTAAGCTTACGTGATAGTAGTACCCAACCAGCTTCTGTGAGGCGCTGTCTCAATCTTGATTGAATTTTTTCAAACTTCTTATGGGTATTTTACCATGATTCAAATAGTAGTTCACTAAACCATGACATCCTACATTATATACAAATCATGCACAGAGCAGCTAGCCCATGGCGATCTGTACTAACTGTTAATTTTTTTTCAAAATAGACTTTGTGGTTACATTGTTACCACAGCTCCGGATGTATTTGTGTGCCATGTGTTTCAGTGCTCTCCTAATGCTGCTCCACTTACAAAGGCATTAGCTGAAGCATGCGAGGTAAGATTAGTACTTCTGTCATCTCAATTCTTTTAAAAAGAAAGTCCTAAATAATGTTCACGGCAGCTGCTCTATGATTTTCTCATGACCGTTGGTGTAAGAATTTTTATGACACAAATTTTGTTTATAGCAGTTCATTTTACAACCTGCATAGTCACTTCCTTGCTTAGTTTTCTTTTTCATTCATTCACTCCTTTCCCTCTGGTTTTACTTTCCAGTTTTTTTCCTCCATGGTCTTTTTCCTTCCTTTGTCTGTCTGTTTTTCTGTCCAACTCGTCATTCATTCATTCTGTCATTCAGTCAGTCTCTCTGACTGTTCGTCAAACAATCTGTCAGTTATTGAGTTAGTCTTTCAGTCATAAAGTCAGTCTGTCAGTTAATTTTTCTGTCTGTCAGTTAATTTGTCTGTCTGTCTCTTTTTCAGTCTGTCTGTTTTTCTGAATTTTTTTCATGATAATTGCAGCTCCGTTTCCAAAAATGTGTGGATGCTCATCCAGATATTATACAGAAAGTGGCAGCTGCTGAGCAGGAGAAAATAAGAGAAAAGTCTGACAAAGACAAAGATAAAGATAAGGTACAAGAAGATGATATGTCAGTCACAAATTTGTAGCATAGTTTTTTCTTTTGTTTTCAAAAATGTTGACATGCAAGTGCAAAGAATAATTTCAAATGAATATGATTTTCTTATCTATTTCCTTTAAAACTTTGGAACTCAAAGAAAAGTTAGATTAGAAGTACATGTAATCTTAACCCTTTAACTCCCATGAGTGACCAAGACAGAATTTCTCCTTACAATTAAGATCAATACAATATCAAGCAGACAAGTGATGCATGAGAATGAAGAAAAATATTGATGATGGGATAATTAGGAGATCTAATACTAAATTCTCTGAACTAACATCGCAAGAATTGTATGAAAGATAGTAAGGAGAATTACTAATGTAATCTTGGGAGTGAAAGGGTTAACTAGATGGTTTTTATTGTTTATTCACATGTTTTATTGTGTGTGTGTTTTCCCATGCACTCTGTGGGTAGTCACTGCATACATATTTTCCTCCAGTTTGCCTCCTTTGCTATATAAACGTTTTAATTAATTTTTATAACAGGCTGGTTTCATTACAAGTGTTCAGGGTTTGCTTGGAAAACTTGGGACAAAGAAAGGGGGAGGGAAAAAGGTCAGTACAGCAAAGAAAATGCATTGACAACTCACTTTACACCCTAACATCAGTGTACATTTACTCCATACTGTTCTCCATACATTTCCTATGGTACTGACAAAGAGAATTTGTTTAACAATCAAGAGCGTTGTTGGTGATCATTTCCTTTATTCTCATGACCTCAATGTTAGTTTTGGAGGTGATACTGATAGGGAAAAATTGTCTGTTATCACCGTTTATAAGGGGTTAAATGGTTAAACACCCTCCCAAGCTCCCTGGAAGTTTGTGATAAGCTGTTCTCCTTCCAAATAAAAAAACAAGTTTGAAAAAAACTTTTCTTAAGCACTCATTTAAGCCAGGAAGCATTTCAGTTCAAATTATACAGGAGACCATGTGTTAATTTCTTTTCTAAATATCAGAGGTCTCAAACAAATACTTTATTCATACTTTATTCCTTTCATCATTTATCAAATATTCATCATTCATTTGGGAGATGATTCAGAAGAAAAATTAAACAACTGAATTCAGTTTACTAGGAAGGCGAAAATTGTCCTTTTTTGCAAAACTCTGAGATTTTGCAACTTAAAAACAATCTAAGATGAATCCTAGAAATTGAAGTTTGAATCACTGGCAAACTATGCCAGCCAGTTTTGTCTGCTAGTGCAGAAAAACCCTTGGTTGGATTTAAATACATAATTATATACTCCCCACACTCTTTTTTAAAAGCTATGGCTAGTCCCTAGTCCCCTTGCAGGCCCTATTAGAACATACAGTATGTGGTATTGCCATCTCTGTTTTCTATCAAACTCGTCTAATATGTTGCATCATAGTCATATTTGTGACTTGGTGTGACTAGGAAAAGTGGGGTGATGTGCTGTTTAATGTATGCAACACCTGATAAGAAAACCACAACTCATTTTCACTATGTACGCAACATTTTTCGTTTTGTTACTTGTCTGTGTTAATTAATTAAAATTTTTATTTCAAACCTTTAACTAAGTAAATGTGGACAAAATTTTCTGTCACTGACTTGAGGAAAATTCTCTTCTTTTTGGAGCAGGAGGAAAGTAGCACAACAGATAACAAACAATCTTCGATTCCCGTGATAACATGCAAACCAACTCACACTTTTATGGTGAAGTACTACGGTGCACTGCCTGTGGCTGTCGGAACAGGGATAGAAACTGTGGAGGAAGCAGCAAAGGTGATTACTGTAATAGCAGCTGACATCAATTTTTATTTATAAATAACTTAATTTCAGGAACCTTGCTAAGTGACACCCTAGCTGTTGCTACACCCTTATTGTGATTGTAACCCTTTGTTTGTGCCTTAGATTTAAGAAATAGACTGCACTTTCCATCTTTTTACCTGTGTAATTACCCATGTGGGATGTTGGGAGAACACTAGGAAAGTTAGTAAATCATGAGCTGGAGGCGGGTGATATGTTAACTATTGGAATTTTTATAAAATAAACTTCAAATTAGCTATTTATTTATTATTATTAATATTATAATTATTATTATTTTAAATTTCATGTTACAGGTATGTGATACATATACTTGAAATCAATAAAGTGCAATATTTCAATACTATACTTTACTGACAATCCCATTGAAACATTTTTAGTTTATATATATATTAAATTTAAAATGTTTCAATGGGTGTACTGGTGCAATAACCAAGTCAATTATTTTATAAGAGATTATAGACCATTAATTTCCTGGTCATGCCATTTTAAGGACACATTGAAATAATTGGCTTCAGACACATAAAGTATAGGTTGAAACCCTCATTCATGTTGAAGCTAAGTCATATACCAGAAAAAACTCCTTTTTTTATTTTTTCTCTATAGGCTAACAACTTTGACTTCTTAACCCATTACACTGTAACATCACTGTCCATTTCCTCCTTCCTGTTCTGTTTACATTTCTTAAGGTTCTGATAAGGAGAATTGTTCAACAATCAAAAGCTTCTTTAGTTCATGATCATTTCCTTTATTCTTAACCTTACTTGCGTGACTTAGGGGTCAGATTGTAGGGAAAAATTAGATGCTCGTCACTCTTAGGGGTCAGAGGGTTAAGAGGAGACCTTTTTTACTTGGCTTCTGCTTTTGGAGGTTAATTTGATTGCTATGTGGATCTTTTCTGGCCCCAGCACCCTCCTTTTAATGATAATTGACTTAAATTCTGGAAGAATTTTAGGCTTCAAAGTAATGAGCTGGAAAAGTTTCATTCCATATGATTTCCTTTTAGAAACATTCTGTAAGTAACTTTTTTTACAATTAAATTCTTATTTTGCAGCATTTGGCCGGAGGAACACTACTGATTTGTCAACTTGATGTTGCACTCAATGGAGTAACACTTTATGACAGTCAGAGAAGTTCCCTTTCAAAGAGGAATTTAGATGCTGATACAATATCATACTGTGGTCTCACAAGGTAATACAAACCAACTCTTTTATGGGCATCTGCATGAAGAAGAATTAGTTACCACTACAGGCTTGTGATGTCATGAATTACATACATAAATAGATGAGTCAACAATGTGCATTTTAAGTCTTGATGAATTGGTGAATATTAGTTGACATAATTTTTGAACTGAACACGGCCTGCTTTTAAGTTTTACTGACCTTACCCAAATCACATATACATGTTTGTAAAGAGCAAATTTCACTTACAGGTATTTTTAAGAACAGCTCCCTGAAAAAACCTGTAAGCTGAGATAACCAACAGGCCACTGACTGGTTACTGACAGGTTATTAGTACAAGTTTACTTCGGAGCTTCAGAGGATACACATCTTCTTTCCATTGTAGTATCTAAGTCTGCCTAAGTTTGGATGATAGATATTAATAGATGGTAGTATTAATACAGACAAGTTACTGACAGATTGCAGACTGAACATTAACTGTCTGTCAGGTGCCTGTTGGCCAACAGGTGTGTATTAAACTGTTGGGTAACAGTCAACTGACTGTCAGTGACCAGTTGCTGACAGTCGGCAGACAAGTTTTTTTAAGGGAATTGTTCTTCACATTCTCTCAAACTTCAATTAAATGTTGAAGGGTGACTTGAACTGAATTAGGTGTGGTTGTTTTACATATTAACTGGCTTGCAGCCTCTGATAAATCAGGTACAAAATCAAATTCAATGGCCACTTACGGCCTCTTATGTTTCACTGTGCTTAGCCCATTCATTCCCAAGATCGCCTTGTTAATTCTCTAAACTGTCTGCCTTACATTTCTTCATTGACCATTGCAATTAACTAGGTAGTGATATAGGTCACTCTATATAGTAGCTCCTTTTTTTTGTTTTTACAGTAACAGAAGCCATTTTGGACTCATCCAAAGCATGGGAGGAGGAAAATACATTTGCCATGTCTTTGCAGAGTACAAGGTGAAGAAATAAATTTAGTTTTTAATTTTGTTTATAAATTTATTTTGGTAACTGGTCATGGTATTAAACGCAACTACCTGTAGCCATATTTGTGGTGAGCCATTGCTTTCATTTGGGTCAAATCATGCCATTCTCTTTTAAAACCCTTTGTTTGCACCTTAACATATTATTCTTCATAAATCCCCTCCGTGTTGTTGAGGAGAATTTTTTTAACAATCCAGAGCTTCTTTAGTAGTTGATCATTTCCTTTGTTCTCTTGACCTTAATGTTTGATTCAGGGGCAATATTGTAAGGAGAATTTAAATGCTGGTCACTCTCAGGGGTCATGGGGTTAAGTCAAGTCTTTGTTCCTCCCAAATGTTGGTAGGAGATTGAGCCTAACTATAAATTTTCAGGGTTATTTTTTTAATTAATTTTTTTTGCTTTTAAGATTTTTTATTTTAGTTGTCAAATTCTTAAAAAGTATTAAAAAATTTAGCTCAATATTTGAGTAGATTGTTAAAAGTAATTTGATTGCATTTTATTTTTTTTAAATATTTCAGACTAAGGCAGGGCCAATTGTTGCAGCTATTCATGAAACATTGTGAATACCAGGGAAAATTCTACAGTACAATCACACAGAATCAACAGAGATGAATGATATGATAATTTTACCCCCTAGCATTGTAATTGTTATTGTAAAAATATGTATTTTATTTCCATGGATTACAGAGGACAGCAGATCAACCAAAATGTATGTAAATAGAATTCAGGGAGCTTTAACTGATTTATGATTATTAGCATTTGAATTGTAGAAAGCACGATCACTTTGACTTGCTAGAATGCAATTTTTTTTTTTTTTGCTCTTTAAGCAAAGGCCTTAGCAGTTTTCTGCATCATGTTTCAATTGATCTGAGTGTGAAATACATGTTAGAGGCAAATGAGATTTGCAATTGAAAGGGGGGGGGAGTTTGCTACTTGGTCAGTGAGGGTTTTGAATTTTCAACCAAAGGTATGATCAATGTGGAAAAAGGAACAAAGAGGAATAGTATATCAAGATGTGAATGTGCTTCCTTCACTTTCAGTCATGTTTGTCTTGTTTATTACTTGTTAGCATTTTAAGGACTTGTTTTTATACAAATGTTTTAATTATTTTTGGAATAGAACGTTATTTTTGTATACTTTTGCTGCAATTACAGTTTGAATGACAGAGCGGATGGATTTAGTGAATGAATGAATGTATAATTAAACAATTGAATGACCATATGAATTGATGAATACAACAACAAATGATTGAGGGAAATGATTGTTTGGGACTAGGTGACGTTGGGAGACAAATTATGAAGTTTGAATTAATTCTAATTATTTACTGGGTTAAATTATTGAGTAAAAATTGAAGAGAGGGAAGAAAAGGAAGGAAAACGTTTTGTGTGCTTAGGTGATTATCAAATGAGAGAGGATTTCTAACAATTTGGTTGACAGCTGAATTCATTAAAATATTATCACATCACAACTGAACGTTAAAAATTATAGAGGTTGGTTGTAAAAAAAAAAAAAATGAAAAACTTCAAGATTGAAACGTATTAGTTTTGAACAAGTGAAGTTAGATAGGTATGTAATTAGTAGTAATAGTTTGAAAGGCAAATGACCAGTGAAGAGAAAGAACTCTTCAGGCTTTTAATTCGAGGGTCAGGAAGTGTGGTTTGCTTTTGTAGGTTTTTGACAAAGTTTGTTAGGAATGTTTGCAATTTGAATGCAGTAAATGCCATGCATGAGGAATTTAGAGACAATGTAATATGAAGTTTTGCAGTTTGAAAGCAGCAAATGCAATGCATGAAAATTTGAAAATAAGAGTTGAAATTATGATGCAAAGTTTTAGGCTGGCCTTTAAACTTATTATGCTACTGTTGTAGTTGAGTAATTGCTCGGATCAGGTAGTGTTTGCTGAAAATTGTTATAAATGTTTTCCTTAGTACTACAGCTTTGGTAGCATTTTGATGAACATGAGTAGTTACTGTTATTTTTATGAGTTAATGACGAGAGCTGGCCTCAGAAAAGTTTTTCCTTGTGTTTGTTTTTAAACTCACTTTTTGCAGTTGCCTTAAGGTGCTTTTGAGTAAATATCAGACCTGGCATTGTTCAAATTGACCCTTTGAACAGTTGGAAAAATTCAAAAAATTAGATTTTACAGTGCAATTATATTCAATGACTATTTCTTGGAAATTATAGTGTTGACTTTTTCCTTTATATTTCTTAATTTACTTCCTAAACTTGAGAGTGGTTATGATATATTACGAATATTTCAAGAATGAAAAAGCTAAGTACAACAATACCAGATTTACCAATTTTGGTTGAACCTTTCTTTAAAGGAAAATAATATATGTTAGGTAAATGTTATTAATTCATACTTATTTCAATTTTTTTTAAGATTTATGGGTAATAAATTACAGAGTAACATAATATATTATCACACAAAAGTAAAGTTAAATCATTACAATGTAATGAAACAGGAACAAATTACTTATTACTCTACCTGAATGAAATTAATACTGGATTTCATTTGAATATATAATTAGGAATGTGATTTATTTTTTGTATGAGTTTTGTTTTGTATCTTGGTTGTAAATTAATGTTGATTATAGCTGTAGATTTTTTTTGACTTAGGAAACGCTGGTTTAATGTTATTAATGTAAGTAATTAAGACTAAAAAGTTGAGTTTTAAAATTAACAAAACATGTAGATGTATGTTTTGTGTTATGCTGGTTGCATGCATATTGGATTACTAACTTAAAGTAAAATTTAGAGCAAATTATGGAAATAAAGTCTGTGAAGATGAGCATTTATATGTTTTGTTGATGTCAGTGACAGCAGCAAAATGAGTATGTATGCACCTCTACTTGAAGCCATTTACGTTTTCCATGAGCTTTGATTCTTCTTCAAAATTAAGTTGTGGTGGTTTTTCTACCAGATAAAAAAACTTTTTCTCTGGGGGCTTTGACTACTGAGGAGGCAATGACAAGAAGTGATAAAGCAAAAGCGTGTGCTACAAACTTCATAGACATGTTATGGCTGCTCAACCTCAGTCACTAAATTCACACCTGTTGCAACAATACGTTTCTGTTGAGAGAGATTTTTAACTAAGAAGGTTCATTTTGGTTTAGGCCTATCCTTGCAAAATGAAAACAAGCAATGGAAATGTTAAAAATGCCACCATTTTGCCTTGATAGTGTTACTATAGTGTTACATTGTCAACCCATTCCATTTCTCGCGTAAATTTCTCACTAGCTACAAGCATGGGCACTCATTTTGCCACTGTGTTGATGCTGGTCACTTCTACATCAAGGAGCTGAAACCTGATTTCATATTTGATTTCTTATTTGACTTAACAGACATGATGCAAATGACATTGTTAATCTGGGCAGTACATAAGAAAAGAGAAATAACAATACAATTTCAATTTATTAAAAACCTGGAAAAAGGACACTGAATGCTTTAGGGACCACCATCCAATTCTTTGAATAGGAAAAAAAAATTTGATCCTTTTTCCACATGTCAAATATGGCTTGGTATGTTACTCCCTTCTAGTCCATATTGATCCACTGTTGTCATTTTTTTCCTTGTCACTAAGCTGACAGAAATTACAACAATGAAGATAATTCATACTCTCATCTACCCTTCTTTCTTTGAGCTTCACTTAATTATTCCTTGTTCTTGTAACATTTCTGTGAGTCGTCCTGACTGGTATAATTCTGCAGTCTCTGACCCACCACCAATACTTGTGCCCTTAATAAAAACATTTGGCACTGTGCTTCTTCCTGTTAAACTTTTCAAAGCTTCCTAAAAAAAGAACAGTTCCCCATAAATTAGGAAATCATCTGGAAGATCATTTCCAACATGGAGAGTACTTGTTTTTTCTGTAAAGGGGAGTTCATACTAGCATGCAGAGAAATACAGAATCTACATTTTAGATAACTGAGAAAAAAAACTATTTTAAAAGCTAACAGTCATGGCTTGAAAACAAAAACCAAGTTAAGCAAGATCTCAAATAATCAAGTGCTTTTGCTGATTTACTGTATAAATAATATTTTGAATAGTTATAACTCAGGAGAAAAAAAAAGGCTTCTGAGTTTCAAAAATTAGTTTGGTTACACGGAAAGGGGGGGGGGGGGGGGGTAAAGGATGGCAAGTAGTGGTTGTTCACATTCATACCACTCAGACTGAGCCATTGTCACCATAAGGTGGAGTGTACACTGCACTAATATTTATGGCAATAAAATCAAGGGGAATTAAAATTGATGAAGAAGCATGTGATGTGTACATGGTTGGTGGGGAGGGGGGGGGGGAGGGGAAGACCTGGTATCTGCAGTCTACAAAAATTGTAATGATAAAAAAATAATATCAATATGCAAAACAACTTCATCATTACTGGAAAAATGGCTCACGAATGTAGGCCTGGCATCATCAGAAAGACTTCTATTGAACCTTATACTTCACTAAGAACACAGTTCTTAATGAACCCTTTAACTCCTGTGAGTGACCAAGACAGAATTTTTTCTTACAACATGAATACACTGTCAAGCAGACAAGCAATGAGAATAAAGAAAAATATTTATTAGGGGATTAATATAACTTGATCCAATACCAAATTCTCCAAACTAACATAAAAAGATCTGTATGGCAGACAGTAAGGAGAATGGGTAAAATTCCGCTCTGTTTTCCCAAGGGCAATGTATTGTTTTTGTCGTTGTTTTCTCAATCCAAGAACTGAATGCATAATGTAGTATGGGGCTGTGCGGAAATTTTACCAGGAGAATTACGAATGAGATCTTAGGAGTTAGAGGTTTACATAATAATAAAAAAAAACCGGCGAAAAAAAACTATCATGATACAGCTGGCGTTTAGAGCCGTCAGGTTTCGTTTTATAATAGTATTTGGTTGTAAGGAAATCTTTCCGCATCGAAACTTAGGCTGTTATTAATTTTACACTTCTACCTGGATATCTGCACCGTCTTCCCTTGTTTCAATTTCGTAAACTTGCATCTTCTGAATGCCGGCTTCCGATAAAGTTTGCTTTGCCATTATGCAAAAAGGACAAGTTGTCTTAGAGAATACTACTACGTTGTGGCTCTTGATTGCTTTTTCCACAAAACTAAGAGCTGCCCGTGCTGCTGCCATGATTCAAAAGCGATTTCACTCTTACTATGATCTTTTTCCGACAATCTTCGTTGTGCAACTTTTGTTAAGTTATGGCCTGTTCGTGGTCGCCATTTTGAAATTCTACCCAGCAAACGTAGCGAGAATTTGTGGTTACCAGGTTTTCTCGCCAGTCAACCAGTGCAGTCAAAGCAAACCCTAACAACCACTAGCACCCATTAGTGGGAATTGGTTCCGAATAATGAAACCAATACAGGCAATTGCCTCACCATGAGAAAAAAACGTTTATTTTTTTACTTTTTTTTTAATCATGAATAGAAGGAAATGCCCACCCCTAGAGTAACCGAAGATGTTGTCTAAGGTGACGTTGCTTCATGTAACCTTGCGATGGACTTGCACATCATCCAGGGGGGAGTAGTCATACTCCTGGTCGTTTCATGATAGGGAGACCGGGATGAGCTGTGGGCTGCGGCTGGATGGGTCACTAGACTCGAGTACAGACGCTTTTTTTAAAACGGGTGAAGGGAAAAACTTTCCAAAGCCTATCAGCAATTGACATGTATATGGAAACACCCACTCACTGAAGGACGAACATCATAGAATAAATCCGAGTCCTCACGATAACAGATAACCGTAATCCTTATCCGTTATAAAAAAGAAAGAAAAATGTTTTACTAATTGGGCTGAGTAAAACAAACCCCGGATTGTTCAAAGTCGGATGAATCTGTTTCCTTTCTTTTCAAAGATGTTGTTTACACTTTTGAATGCAAACGAGAATTTTGTTCTGAAAAATATCACGCAATTTCTTTTTTCAACTCTGTCATCAAAGAAGAATACATAAAAACTAACTTTTCAGTGAGTTTTGAGATTCCAAAGGGAAGGACCCGAAAATTGTTTTTTAAAGCACCAATCTTAAACTTGGCTATGAAGGTCGCCATTTTGAAACCAACTTAGTAACCTGGCCATACAATTACGGAGTGGTCCACAAACCTCAATGGCTCTGTTTTGCGTAAAACCCAGCAGTCTTTGAATCAAGAATGTCTCGCCATCCTGCCCCTTATTCTTCTGCGAGACGTTGTTTTCGAAAATTATCATGCTACTCGGAAGTAGGTTAAACAACTGAAAGCTATCAACTTAGATATAAAAAAATCTAGAAAACACATTTTTTTGAGAAAAATTTTTCTCCGGTTCAGTCAGACTGGTTTTCTAGTTCTGTTTAAGATTTCTACAGAGAAAAAACTCAATAATGATGCAATCCGCTGGACTATGAAAAATTGAGAAATGGTTCAAAGCATGGGTGTCTGCTTCAAGGTCGTGTTCATGCTTCACGTTGTCGTTGTACTTAACTTGTTAGGCGTTGTTTATGAGCAGGATAATACTCTCTTGATAGCTTTGTAGTCTTAATAGGACAGCTGTGATGTATTCCAGCTTATATAGCTTGCTTCCGCCGGAAGTGGTCAGTTCGATGGCTGACATTCCTTTTACCCTCATAACCTCTGGGTTATTAATCGTTACCAAGAGAGGTAAATTTGGAAGCACAGATCACAAATAAAACCCTTGTTACAAAGAAGTCTTTAACCTCTTCCATGAAATTATATAACAGGTAAAATAGGAATGGTTTACCATCCAATGCGCCGAATTTTCAGATCAGAATCAATGCACTATCCCTTGTCTGTAAAAGCGTATCTGGGCATCTGGGAATCTTGGAACCTTGGAACTGGACTTAGAAACAGGAAACGAAATGGAGGGGGAAAAAAATCAATAATTATTATTGAGAGTTTCCAAAATTTAACCGTATCGGGCCTGTCCGGGAGTCGAACCCGGGACCTCTCGCACCCTAAGCGAGAATCATGCCACTAGACCAACAGGCCTCAACTGAAAATATTAGTCTTCAAATAAAATAAAATATAAATAGGCGGGTGGCTCAACACCTGTGACATCACCTGTTTTATTTTGCCCCGGAGTAATTGTAAATGGAGTTGCTAGTATCAGTTGATCTTTATATAACGAGCTGAGTTAAACACGCATTTTGATTGGGTCTGGCTTATGATTTATTAGAAGACAAACGCATAGATAGCATCAACACTGACAGTTTTTGCTCCTCTATCGTACAAAACAAATAGATACCATGTTGCCGTTGAAAAATGCGGTAAGAACATCAGTGACTCATTCGACTGCACCTCGTGTGCTACTTTTTCGTTCTTACCACATTTTGACATTATTGCCATAATTATAGGAAATAGTATTAACCCATCAAGCCGAAAATATTTGGACTTGAGACCGTATGACTGACCGTGTAAGGTGCTACTTTTAGCATGCGCGGCCAACTGCACTGCAGGCACTATCTTAGCCATTATGAAATGGAAGGGCGAGGGAGAAGGTAATGCGTAGGCGCTATTGCGTGCGTAACTTGGATACCCCATTAGTTTGCGCCAGGAGACACCAGCAGATGTCAATTTGTTAAATGTAATCTAAACCTATTTTCGTTTCTCTCATCTCGTAATTTCTTAGGTGGGAGCAACTTTGAAGGTAGCTAGTGCACTCAAGGATTCATTTTCCTAACTTAATATACACCTAACTATAACACCGTTGACCTAAGAAAAGCAAAAAGCAAAAACAAAATAGAAAAAAAGCATAACAGGAATTCATTAGCATATAAACCTACCCATCGACTATATAGGCAGTGCCCGGCAGCTGAACAATGATGTTGCTTAGAGATTTCAAGCGATTCCAAAAATTTTAAAAATAAATCTAACTGCTTATGTCGTCTTCTTATGTTTACTTAGCTTTTCTCCTTTTTTCCTTTTTTCTGATGTTAGTCTGAATAAGGGGTATCTCCTGTGTGTTTGGAAATCTCTGATTTTTAACATTATGGAGAGGCGTTATTTCTTTTGTTTAGTTAAAGCATATTCAATTGAAAGAAAAATTATGACACCAGCATTTTTTTCAACGTTATTGGCGTGAGTAATAATCAACGGAGAGCTTTTCGAAGTTAATAAAAACTGTTAAGTGACATTAAAGGAGAGTTACTTGGTTCTGCGCATGAAAAAGGTTAAACATTCACCCATTCAGCTCCACTGACTTTGAAACAGTCTGAGACACGAAGGAGCAAATGCCACTGTTCAAAGCCTTTTGGGAATTCGTGATCAGTCGTTAAAACGTGGCTGTAAAATTCCTGTTTATCGTTCGCATTTTAGTCTGTTTCAACTCTCAATTACAGGCAGATTCAAAGACTCGGTCATCAATTGCGTTTGAGAAACCACTGACTGCAATTTGTGAAATCAAGACTAAAGAAGCGCTCTTTTATATTAAATTCTGTCATTTTGATGCCGGATGTCAGATGTCGGATGTCGGAATTATGTCTCAACCTCGTCTTTGTCGGCACCGGATGACTCTGCGCTGGGATGGCGACAGTCACGACATAACACACTCCTTCAAGCTCGCATAGTAACCAGTGACCTTTAGCCATATTATTAGTGAGTAAAGTGACCATAGCTATCACAAATTTTACTAAAAAACAAATTGGTTCAAGGAGAAAGAGGAGGCCACTCTTAAGATCACCTCGAATGACAGTATGCATTCGAGACGTTGCTATCCAAATTGAATGTCACTACATCGTTTGTCAAACGATATTACTTTGTTATTGTCGTGTTTCATTACAATGGATAACTTAACCGCATACATACATTGTCATTACTAGGACATATTTTAAAATCGCACTAAAGACAAATGTGTTTGCCTTTTTTTTAAATTGACTCCAAATGGAATACTGACACGGGACCTTTCCAGACGTCGAGTGCCGGACGGATAGACGCGCTTGTAATAAGCGGTGACACTTATGGGACTTCATCTAACATCATTCTGAAACTCTAAAAAAGTTACTGAGTTAACAGAAATGCAGACTCGTTAAATTGCGATAATCGTTAATTTTCTTTTTGTCCACACTTGTCTCCGTGGCGCAATCGGTCAGCGCGTTCGGCTGTTAACCGAAAGGTTGGTGGTTCAAGCCCACCCGGGGACGATCTTTTTAAAGAAAATAAATTTTTTCTTGCCTCGAATCCAATTGCAGCCCTGAATTTTGACAACAAGAAGACTTTTCGTGAGCGGAAGTATTATTTCAGTCAAGTATCAGGCCTTAATAACATTTTGAACCTTTGAAAATTAGAAGGTGACTAAATACAGTTTCGTATAAGGAAGTTGCTATAGTGGTTAGTGTATTAGTTTCCGAGAAAAAATTGGGAAAGTCTACCTTTTCCATGATCCATTCTTAAGTAAAGGTGGCCATTTAACAGTTTGTTTTCACATAATCGCATAATTGTGGGGTTGATCTTTAAGCGGCCGCTTCTAATGCTTTTTGCTTTTTTCCAGTGATTTTAAGAAAACTGACTAACATTTATTCATTTGACTTACATTTAAACTACTAATTTAACGGCTTTCCCACTGTTTCGTAACAATCAAGATACTACAGTGTGTGCCTGTTGCCAAGGAGAAACAAACATTTATTTGGACGTGGTATGTTTTATATAGCTTTTTAATTCACCTATGGCTGCAAAATTGGCGAGGCATTATGGTCGCACTGGAGAAGAGTGGAACCCAATTCTCTCTTGCGTCAGTGATAATCATTCAGGCTGTGCTGCCGAACACTGATGACGCACTTCAAATATTCTATTTCAGTAATTGAAAGAGTCGCTGTGTGAACCAACCAACTGTAGAACAAAGAAAAAATGGAAAATATTAACAAACTGGTGGCTTCAAACACTTTTAGAAATAAAAGTGAAATAGAAATAAAAAACATCCATCCAACAGGTACCATAGCACCAGAATTTTCCACTATTTAATCGTATCTTGCATCATATGAGTGGCCTGTTGGTCTAGTGGCATGATTCTCGCTTTGGGTGCGAGAGGTCCCGGGTTCGACTCCCGGACAGGCCCTCCTGGCAGTAATTTTCAATACTGAATTTTTTTTTTCAGAAATACTGAATTCTGAATATAATGCCTTCTGTGGTCTTCTTTCACAGCCTTATGAAGGAGATGCACGCACAATAAATCATGTAGCTAGTATCTGCACATTGAAGAGGTATCTAAAAAACACTTTTAAACTAATCCTTCTTAAAC